TAAGCGTACTATAGCCGAAACTAATTCGTTTTGTTAGCTCTGAAATTTAGGAAAACTCTCGGCTTCATGGTTGCATAATCTTTCTATCCTTTTTATAGTCGTACGGGTGAGAATAAATTGAAATTTGTGCGAATGACCGCAACATAGAAGGAAGAGTGGATAAGCTAAATTTAGAGAAAGGAAAGAGAATATATAGATAATTTATATTACAATTTTTTAGACACAAAAATTATATAAAAAAGACAATGTGACATATATATGTAACAGTATTCTGTTAAATTATTTTGTTAATTGCTCAATTTATATTAAGATTAAATTGTATATATAATATTCATGATTCTATTTTTTTAATATTTTTTTGAATTAGTTGACTTAAAAGATGATAATACTGGAAAAAAATTGATAGATTAATGAGAAAAAGAGATATATTGTAGATTCATAAAAAGATTATTATTTCAACATTGACATTTAATTGTAATGATACATCAGTAGCTCAAATTGATTTACCGAATGAAAAAAATTCTCCACTCGCACACTCTTTTGATGAATAATTTTTATTCTAAGATTTGCATCATCAATTTATAATTATTCAATTTTATGACTTTATATTTCGTACAATGTGCAAAAGTATCGTTCTTTATGTCCGTCGCTGGAAACAGGCGTCGATGATGAACATAGATTACCATTTCATCTACAAATATGTGAACTAAAAATAGAGTACCCTGTGGCTCTGGTATGGCATTTTAGTAGCGAATAAAGTTTAACATGAAAATAGCTTTTGTTGTGACGAGATAGAAGAAAAATTTAACTTGAAATTGATTAGTAAAATATATTACTAAAAACATTAATATTTGAATTTATATTTATTCACTTGGATTTATTATTACTTTTTTCTTTTAATTTTTTTTTCGTTTACACATTTTGATTTTGCGAGGAAAGTTGGCAATTTTCTATTCATGTTCATATATATTGATCTCTGCTAATACCATAATTTATCGAACAATGGTCGTCAGGTCAGTCTCCGGCTGGGCGCACTCATTGAGATGAATCTTAAGAATAATTTGTTCAGGTTTTTTTGACAGAAATATCTCGATCTTTTTTTCCACTTTGGAACATATAATATTTTGGAAGTTGCATAAGGTAGGCTATGAAAATAGTTTCTTGTGTCCTGTAGGTACCATGAATAAAGAGACGGATCGTCTCTTTTCAATTTATTGGCATTTGCTTTCCCATGAAGGCGGTCCCCTGAACAATTACGTCTTACAACACTTACATTTGCAGATGCTTCATTTATCTTGCCAGACCTGTCATATCATGTTTCAAATTGATGAAATTTATAGCTGCCGATATATTTATAATCACGATATATAAACTTTCTCTACAAATTCACTTTTTTTTTTTATTAATTTGAACTTAATTTTCTTTTATCAGAGATTTATTCGGAAAAAAGATTAATCGTAAAAAAATGTTATATAGCCAAAGGCGATAGACAGTATCTAGTGTTGAATGTTTTACACTCTTAGAATGAAATCGCTTAGTTTGCATCGTGAGAGAGAGGTTGCAGTCCCTCCGGGAGCGAGCGATCGGGAACACGGGACAGGGGTGGAGGGTGGTTGGTGGCGATCCGTGTGTGTGTGTGTGTGTGTGTGTATATATATGTGTGTATATGTGTGTGCCGGGCAGTGTCCATTTATCTCGCGTTTTGTCGAGTGCCAGAATACGTCCTTTATTTACAGGCGACTCGCGTTTTCCAGGACGTTGCATCGAGAGTGCTGACGAGAAACGTGTTTATTATGCGATCCGCCTCGAAGTTACGCGCTCAGAGGGCGGATTGCTATTGTCGATGAACCCGATGCGGGGAGGCGGGTCCGCCGCTGTTTGCGCCCGCGAGCATAAAGCAGATTTTCAGTGATTTACGTCGAGTCACCAAACACACCGCGCGGATCGCCGTGAAAACGCCTTCGGCCGCCGTTTTCCATTCATCCGCGCGGTTTTCATACCCGGACCGATTTCATTCATGCCTAGCCAAGGTTGGGGAGACGCATCATCTCTCGATGAAATCCAGAACATTCGGCCCGAATGTAGAGTTGCGACTGCCGAATGTATATCTATGTGTCTGCATATTCACGAATGTGTGTTGGATTCGATAAATTATTATATTTCAAATCAGTGATTTTTCTATCAATCTGCCAAAACTATACGTAGAACGTTTGCACGTTTAAGGAAGTAGATATTAGTTTATTTTGTAATATTAATGGTTATTCTCTATTAAATGTTTATTATTTTTATGCAGAGAAAATTTTCTCTTCAAATTCAACCTGAACATCGTGGCAATCGATCTATCACAATAAGATATAAAATATGTTTCATTAATTTTATTACTATGTACCTACATATTAATATTTTTTATTGTATAGTAAATATTAATCAGAGAAACTCTTATAAAATTCTTCCAATACCATATTGTCCCACGATTACCTCGGGGTAAATTTTAAGACAACATTCTCTCTGTACTTCTCTGTGTACCTTTGCTTAAAAAAAAATGATAAAAATATAACCTGGATCTTTTTAATCATCAATGCAATTCTTGATCGATTTGTGTCTGCTCCTGTGGAAATATATGCCATGAATCTTTCGGTCAACGGCACCCACGCATCCCGTGAGATGATCCTACACTTGGCGCGTCGCTCGTCGATGAATGTCCCGGAAGAGACATTCTTTCGGGCCGCGTGGTTCGCACCAGGATGCTCGGTATTATATCGTTGAATCGTATTGTCCACGAAAAGATCGTATAAGATTTCGTGTGATTGTACTTTAGTATCTCGACGACATCTCTCATTCGGGGACAGAGATGTCTCAATTACCTGATCTTACCTACTTTTACCTGATTCACTTATGTGGGAGATCGCGTTTGCGCGAATGGGAATTGTATGCGTCTAGAAATGCGAGCATTCGTGGTGACAGATTGAATAATCATTCACAAGATTGCAGAATTCGGACTGCAATTCTCTTACTGAATTCTTTTACTGAATTCGAATATAAAATTCTATTGAAATTTAAAATTATATGCAGAATGTGGAGCGTAAAAATCCTTTTGTTTCGTCGATGGAAAAGTTTTCGAAAAATGCGACCAAAATCTATTCATATCCGAAATATAGTCCAGTCCTTCACTATTCCAACAGCGTTAATGGAGTCACCCCATATTATGGTCAAGGTCATATTACCACGACGGCAATGTATGCAATTTGGGCAACCTTCACCAAAGACAACCCACGGGTTTCGGCTTAGCGATATTTTCTTGTATTATCTCGTTCGTGTGCGGACAGTCAAGCAGTTAAGGTTCTTTGCTAGAAAAAAAACAATTTGTCTCGCTTCTCCACTACTGCGCGGAGCCACGCGCCATAGAATTTTCAAGCAGAAATATGAAAGCTATTTTGCTTATATTATATCGTAAAAGTTTACGAAAACTTTCTAACGGCAAGGGACGACGCCCGGACGTACGCCTCACATTAAATTTATTTGGTTCTTGCGCAAAACATTTGGAGAAGAGAGAAAGAAGTATTCGTCATGGTGTGCGTGAGGTGAGGTGAAGCAAATGTATAAGTGATTACATTTTTCAAAAAGGTTTAAAGAGTTAAATATTGCATGCCATACTGCTGTCTTTTGCGTGTGTTATTGTCCTTTTCAAATTTTACTGGTCAAGCTGTTCTTTCCTTTACAATCTTGGAAGAAAACAATTCTCTGCCTCTTTATCCTTTCGTAACTTGAATATGGCAAGGCTTAAAGGCAGAAATAAATAAGTGTCAATTTTACAAAGGGTTTATATAAATGACGTTAGCACACATAAATATTCGTGTCTCCTTATCCGTTGCAATGTTACCTTACGGTGGAGACCTACTGACCTAAAGTTCTCGTTTTTTTATGGCGAATAGAGGACTTACATCTTTATCCTTTTTTTTTCTTTCGTTCTCTTTTTCCACTCCTCTATGTAGAGAGCTCATAAGCTAGGGGAGCGAACTGGATCACGATTCTTTCCGACCACCCTCTTGCTCGCGTCACCCTCCGCTTCGCGTCTCGATAGCGTCGCGCGAGGGTTGCCTCGATCTTGCAGAAAGAGAGAAATGCGATTTGGGATTTCCGCACTGGCAGTGGTTAGATTAAAGGGATCTTGTAAGACATCCGCTTGAGTTACTAATAAAGTATCTTGTCTGCAATCTGTTCTCGATTGTTTCGTGACGTTTTATGTTTGCGCGAATTAATATAAAAATTGTAAAGCAAAAGAACCGTTTAAGTAATAATTTTATGAATTTTACAATTTATATAATACCTACATAATATTGCAAAACTTATAAAATTATTAAAGATATTTATTTGTAACAACGCTGCTAGATAATGCTGCTGCGTATTTGTTCGTGATCTCACGTAAATATGTCAGTCGGTCGTTCTAGGTGTATTTAAAATCAAAGACCTCGTTCCAATTTACAAAATTCGTCACGCGTAGCCGACATTACCGTTATGCAACGATTTTTTATGATATAAAGAAGTTTGTTCCACCATCTGCTTATACAAAGACTAGGCGTATCGAAAGATTTCTAACTAAAATTTAGTTAGTTTACGTATCTATATTCCAAAGTCTATTGTGTTACATATTTGATGACCAATTTAAAAATATGGTATAGCTTTGAATAGAATGAAAATTGGTCTACATACACATGTACGCGTGTAACATGAAACAACCTCTTATTGACATGCCTAATCAATTTGCATCACATATAAATCTATCATAAATCTTATCTTTAAATTCAGTAATTTGTTAAATGCGACGTAACAAGAGGTTAATAAAAAACTACTAATAATTTAAAATACATTATTTTATTATAATTTTAAATATTTTATTAAATATGTTATTTAAATATATATTATATATTAATTTTAAATGAGAATTTTTGAAAATTAAAGAAAAGATTCTAATATATATATATGTATTTTATTTGTTACAGATTGCATCCTGTAGTTTCGCATGTCGTGAATGCTACGAAGGATCACGAGAGGAGGAGGAGGCCCGGAGCGGCATCGGGCGATAGCGGGGCAGCTGTAAGGTGCGCAAAATAAATATATAACAATTTTGAAGAAACATATAATTTTTATTACACTTATTTAAGTATTTCTCTCTCTATATATATATGTATTTTATTTGTTATTACAGGTAAGTTTATTGATAAGCTGACCGTGAGATTTTTGATTGCCGAACGGTTTGTTACGTCGTATGATTAGTAGTTTTCGGATTGTTTTTCTTATTGTGCAATGTATGCGAGATACGCGTGCGGTTCACGCGTCGCGTCGGAAGTGTCGCGTATCGGAAGTATCGTATAAAATGTCGGGCGGTCGTAATTATTCGTATTTTCGCGAGTATCGTAAGTGCTATGAAGGAGCAATAACAGTCGACCAAGAGAGGAGGAGGAGGCCCAGGGAGGCATCGGGCGACAGCGGGACAACTGTGAGGTATGTAAAATAAAAACATTTTTTCTAAACTGCATTATTTACGAGATTTTCACGTTCGTTTCCAGACTTTCAAAACACCTTGTATATACACACACTCTTCACGCATTCCCACATATACGTATATACATAATTTGAATATTTTGTTTTCAGATCAAGGTGCCGTGTACTACAACTTGGCTATTGCGCGTATCGGTGAGTGAGAAATTGTTAATTTTTTAACATTTCTATTAGCGGTAATAGGGTAATGTGCGAAGCATTTCATTTCGTGGAAACTAATAAACAATTATGAGTTGTAGCTTTATTTTCAATAGCTCGTGGTAGTTTTAGAAAATATTAATTGAATTATTTTTTATCTGCCACGAAATGATATGCTAACTTCACACACATACATACACATACTGATATTTTTAATTATGCGAAAAATGAATGGAATAAATGGAGTTTAATTAGTTTCATCAATTTCATTCAAGAAACAACGCGTGCGTTCACATTGATTATTATAACAAAATTTAGTTTCTCAATTTTACGCCGGAAAAAGAGATCGATTTTTTTTTTACAAAACAAAAAGATTGCATTGAAGTTTTGAAACGACCGTGCCAAAAATTTTCGAGAATGGCACGATGCTGAGACACCACATATGGCCGTCGGGGAGTATTAGATAATGGTGTTAGCTCTCCCCAATATATTCAGCTACCCTATTTCTAGTGGTAGCTTTTGTACAAAGAACCCTGGGTACGCAACATGCACACAAGCAGAACGCGCATATTGTCACTGGTTTCGTTGTTGCGTGCGTGTCTCATTAATAGCAGAGATTCTATTTACAATGTCAAGAATCGTTGACATGTTTTTTAAATCAGCTTTTGATACACATCTATTTTAATTGAGACATAAAAATTATTTATAATAACATTACAAATTTTTACAATTTTGACAAACAATTTTCTGTAGAATTCTATAATACATAATCTATTTATTTTATAAATTCATAAAAAAATTTAGAATTATATAAAGAATAATAAGGTTTCTTATTCTCTATATCAACCATTATTAGATATGTCGCGTGCAGTATCGATATCGAATATTTTCAAATAAGAATCCGAAGTGAATGGATACCCACGAGATATTAACGTCTATAGAATGGATCAGGAGGTTTCAAAAGGGAGTAAGGCGGAGGTGCAGTTGAAAGGAGAAGGGGGGAGTTTGGTTGATTTTGAGGGGTTGCTACGGGGGTTGTCGCGGCGTACCCCTGCGGGCTCCCGCTCTCGGCTCCTAGAGGCCAGGGTGGTTTACCCCCGACGACCGTAATACGCTGTACGAAGGGTGAGAGTGCAGCGAGTGTGCGCGAACGTGTGTGCGTGCACACGCGTTAGAATGCGGTGTTATGTACATGGGTAGCCGCGTATTTCGTGTACAGTCGGTGACATTAATGGCAGATGCGGGAAGGAAATGCAATATGATATAAACAAATACCACGTGTATAGAATTTTTTTAAAAACCCAGACAATTTTATTCTTTATTTCTATTTTTAATTAAATAGGTTTTTCTCTCTCTCGAATTACGAGTATATGTCACAATTATTATATATTTATTAATCAATAGAGAAAAGACATGATCAATGCTGATTAATACTTGTTTATTACTCAAGTTACATTGGTCACTGACAGAAGTGTCTTATCAGCTCGCATTAATTTCTTTGTCACGATATAATCAATCGCAGATGTTTAGAATGTTTGCCTTCGTAAACCTCACGCGCTATACACGTACGCCATCGAATAAGGCACGCCGCTTTCGATGAAAGGGGACCACTGGACCAAGAATAATCGATAAATCTGCTCTGGAAGGGCGAGCTCATCCCTCCCCTGTAGTCTGCACTATACGTCCAAGCAATCTTTAGGATCAGTAACGACACGCTTACTCCTCGAAAAAGTGTGCCGCGGTGTCGCCTTTGAAATATGAACGCGACGTTCGTAAGCAGGATTTTGCGCCACAATATTTTCAAGTTTTTTTTTACAAAGGATTACAAGACAGATGCTCCTTACAAAAGATCTGTTTGATATTCAGTTCACGTCAATGCGTGATGTAAGCATTTGTTGAACGAAAATTAAAAATCAGACAATTCGATTGAAATAATAAAAATCAAACGATTATATTCAGATTATTAGATGATATCTCGTTTAGATCGTCAAAGAAATCTTTTAATCTGTAGAATGTCATAAGAGAAATTGCGAACAAGCGAGTTTAAAGCTGAGAACGCGAATAGCATTTCTCGTTATCCGCCTAGTCAGTGTCACCGAGAAGGGCGAGAAGCTCGTAATCTATGTGAGAACCTCTGCGGGATAAGTCTCACCCTATCCAGTCATGTGTGATGGACCTAAATGGATGAGACGCACCCCTGCAGCGGCTGCTGGCCTATCGGCTGTCCATAATTTTTGCAGCTATTCCAAAGGGTAATATCTGGAGGGTGGGTACACGAGGTTCTCTCTCTTTCTCTTTGCTTTCGAAAGGATAGGTACTAAGTACCTACTTGCTCCGGCATTAAAAATGCCGGGATGCGTTTGTCACGTACGTCTAGACCCCCATCTAACTCTCCCGCATCTTTCATTCTCTTTTCGTTGATAGCCAATAGAAATGGTAAATATATCTTTATCAATACATATCCTCGATCTCGATAATTTTTCCGCGAGATATATATAATGCTATAATTTTTCATAACAAAGTTTAATATCTTCAACTCTTTTCACGTTTATAGAAACAAATTTTTATATAATAATTCTTTTAATAAATTTCAAAAATTGATTTTTTAAAATAGAAATATGGAAAAAGATATGTAATTTTTTAATATTATATTTTTATAGTACCTATATACTTTGCCGATTAAATTTCTCGGCTGTAAAATGATTAATATGATTTTATACCATTTTCATAAAATTTTCGAAATGCAGTTTTGCATGCATAAAATGTCATAATGCATTCGACTCTCGATGATTTCCACATTTCGAACACTGTAACGAAGCTTCTGAGTTATGTAAAGAAGCGCGTGTGAGGAAGAGAAAGGGAGAGAGAGAGAATCAACTGGAGATATTACGTAGGTTCATTTCGACGTGAATCGATTTGGCAAATTGGTCAATCGCTGAGGGGTCAGAATTTCAGTAGCGGCTGCGATGACGAGGTAGAAACGAGGCTTCAAGGGGGTGGTGTCGGGTTGTACGAGGACGGTGGAAGGAGAGACGGTGTAAGGAAATTGTTCCGACGTGTCCACTTCCTCTCGGACTGATGAGTTCCGTTCTGTCGCTGGATGGAAGCTGGGTGAACCCTCGCAAAAAGAAATCGAGGGTCCGGCCCAAACGCTTCGAACTTAGCTAGGAATTTGATCGAGGAACCGATTTCGTGGATTTTCGGGTCAGCATGGTAAACGTCAGTAAACGTGGTAGAATCGCGGGATTCATATTCGAATCGCGTAACCCTGAATGCATAAAAGTCGCTTCGAATTGCGACAAATTGTAACGCGGAGAAAGCGCGAGTAAATTATTCGTACTTGTTATAGAATAAAATTTGGAAAGATTTATATGTATTTGATGTATAACTTGTATTTTAAGTACTTTTTTATCTTTTTATTTTTTGGCTATATTTTTATCAATGTTGGTTTCCCAACAAAGAAAAATACTTGGCTGGTTCCTTTGATTTATTTATTTTTTCGATATAAGAAACACACAAACCTCAATAAAGGTCTGTCAAAAAAGAACTGTTCTAATAGAATTATATATAACTTGAAATTTTTGACGTATATTATCTTTTTGTTTGTTAAGTGTTCTTTCATCTTACCTATAGTATTTCCCACCAACAAAGGTTTTTTTTTCAAGTTAGGTTTTATAGTCTTGTGTAAGAGCACAATTGCGGTCTGCCAAATATATGCATACTTGAGTGATTTTCAAATTTTTTCAAAATATTTTGCTATGCTGTTTGTCTTCAATAACCCTAAGATCTAACCTTATCTCAGTACTCGTGTTTGTATAGTTTGTGATATTGCTAATGAAAAAAAGTAGGGAAATGAAAAAGAAACGCATAGGTTGGTCGGAGTGAGCAAAAAAAAAAAAAAAAAAAAAAAAAAAAAAAAAAAAAAAAAAAAAAAAAAATTACCAACACGCAAAGGAACAAAAGAGCGGCGCGGGCAGGCCACGAGCGAAAAACAAGTTTCCTCTCGGAAACAAATGCGGAAAGATCGATCCGCGTGTTTCGCGGGGCGACGGCGCGGCCTCGCCGATTTAGCGGTGGAACGCGGCTTGAAAATCGGCGGTTTCCGCCGAAACGATTCGCCTTTTCAACGAGCTCTCTCGTGTGCCGCCAATCGACGCGGTCAAACGGCCGCGCCTCGGACGGAAACAAACGTGTGCGTGAACGTGCGGCACACGTAGTACACGTGACTGCGCGACGCAGGTTACTCTTTAATCCCGCGACGGCGGCCGCGAACGGGTCGATAACCGATAACGAGGTCGAGGCATTGCGATGCAAAACAGCTCGTTAAACCGTTTTTTTTTCTTAAGGTCGCGCGTCTTTACCTTCGTCCTTGAGCAGTCGCGAGTTTAAAAGACGTTTAAATTTGAAGAGGCGCGCCTCCCGCGAGGACGACGGTTCTGTGCGTCGTCGAGGGAAGAAGAAATCGTCTTCGTTGTCGTCGCCGAATGCCTCTCGAAAGAGGCTTATTATTTCCGCGGTCTTTCCCTCTTCCTCCTTCTTCGGATTCCTGCGAGACTCCGCCGTGTAATCCTCGACACGTTTCATCGCAAGAACAATTAGTGTCCCCGCTCGGGAGAGAGTCTGTGGGGACGATTCTTTTATAGATTAGTTCGCGAAGGACTCGCAGAGATGATTAAGATCCTTTGAGTAGCGCGCTGCGGGCGTTCCTTTGTTCATTTCTGTTTTATTGTGTCGTCGCGTGTCGCGAAATTCCTCGATGCTGATCGAGAGAAATTTGACAATCATTCACGAAAATTATAGACAAACTTGAGCTATTGATTTGTGTTGAAAGTATTTAATAAATAAATTTATTTGCTCTTCGAAAATAACTTTTTCTCTTAAAATTTACCATGAAAATCATAATAATCGTGAGACAATATGGTATTCGAAGAATTTTATAAGAGTATCTCTGATTAATATTACCACAATAAAAAATATTAATATCTATTACAATAAGATATAAAATATGTCCGATTAATTTTACTATGTACGTGGTAAATATTAATCAGAGAAACTCTTATAAAAAATTCTTCCCAATATCTTATTGTTCCACAATTAGCATGATTTTCCGAGTAAATTCTAAGAGAAAATTCTGTCCGTGCACGACGAAGAACGAATATCTCGACTCTTTTTCGCGGGAAGTCATTTATTCTCGACGTAAACGGGGAAATTTGCGCGAAGTAGACCGATCGCGTTGACATTGCCTCCGCAACCGTGGAGAGACCTTTACGAGCGCGCGCGCGTAATCCTGTGCGTACAACGCGATCCACGCGTAGCTACGTAAACGTAGCGTCCCGACCCCGCCGCACATCCACAGTGGCCTCTTTCGCATGCGTAACGCCTGCGGTCGGCGCGTTGTTGGGCAGGTGAACCCGGACGAGAGAGCGACACGCAGGAGAGGACGGGCGGGGAAGTTACTAATTGTCCGAGCCCTTTGCCCCTCGACCCGGCCCCCTCATCAACGCTGATTGCCTAACTCTAGGACCCTCGAACCAGGGTCCTCACGATTCTAGACTAGCGAAGAGGATCGACGTCCTGTCCTCCCTGTCAACGTGTCGACAAAGCGCGCGCGTGCAAATCAACCGCTCCTTCCGCGTCGCATTATACTTTGATCGCTCCCGTCTCGAAGTCCTTGTCGTCGGCTTTTTGCCTTGCCGATCTACGCGTTTGTAATAGCAAAAGTAATTTTATTTACTTCGATGTACACACAGAGAGTAACTGGAACGAATTTGATTTGATATTTTTCAAATGAAATTTTCGTATCGTGAATTTTTTATGATAATGCACGCGAGATATGGACCATTACACGGAATTTTCGCATATACTCGTATGCACATATACGTACACACGCGCGCGCGTATATATGATAAATCTGGTTGCGCTATAATTAATGTAATTATCTCGAAAAATGTTCAGTTCCTGTACCTGTATACTAATTGCGAGATTACGAGGTCAAACGCAATCGCTCGACATCGTGACACGTAAAATGCCAGAGGTCCTTCTAATAAGAGCGGTTTGTCCCGAAAATCGCGAACGCGCGCGCGGAGGTCTGTGTACACCGAAAGTCGATTATTCAGTCCCGGATATCCGCACGTCCGCTCGTCGTTGATTTTTCCATCCCGTGCCATCGCGGCTGACTCAATTATACATGACGATTCTTTGAGCAAACATTAGTTAGCGCCGATCGCGCTCGCGCGTCGGGATTGGCTTGGATCGGTTCGCCTCGTCGGTTCATGCGGTGACCCTTCATGGTTGCTTGGTTCCGTTGTCTACTCGTCAACGAACAGCCCCACGGCTACACGGGGTGTCAACGCGGTTCTCATTTTCTCGCTGGGGCTAATCCTATTAAGCGCCGTGCAAACCTACGTCAAGCCGACCGACCGGACGGACGGTCGGTAACCGGTTTAGGTATAACATCGCGATTCGATCGCGATTTTTAATCAAGGCAATCTGATCAAGATTTTACATCGCGCGAACACGTTACGTGCCGCGTATCGAATTTTTGCCACGGGGCGTTTTCTCGATCCGGAGAATATATATATCGGACGTATATACATGTATATGTGTGTATCGGTGACAGCGCGTGCATACGTCGCACCTGCAACCGGAATGCGAAAATTGAGTTATTCGACGTCACCGAAATTAACTGCACTCGTGCTCTGTGCACCAGTTGACAAACACGACCGGAACAATTCAGAAAAAAAACTATCCCTTACCCCAGGTCATGTTTCAGCGTGATGCAGGGACACAATCCCGACGGGCATTTCGCGTCACGCGAGACGACGTCTCTCGTTGAATAAAGCGAACGTTATCTATCGCGCGACAGTCTCATTTTTTTTTTTATGCGCAGCACTCGAAATAATTTATAATTATTCGCAAAAAATAGGAATTTCTAGAAGTAAGTGATTCGTGCCGATTTCGGCGATCGAACGCCGAAGAACCCCTGACTCGTCGGATTTATTTTCGACATACTTGAGAACCGCTGATATCTCGAGCTTCTATAGGTACTAATACAGATCTCACGCAGATCCCCTCGATATAAACCATTCTCCACCCTTGTGTTCGCCGTATGGGATCCCCTACGCACACACGAAAGAGACGGAACGATTGCGCGGCGGTACGACCATTCAGATTTAAATCGCGACCGAAAAAAAAAAAAAAAAATATGGATCCCTCTTGCAGCAGCACGACGCGTTCCGCTTTCTTTCATATTCTTCCTTTCTGCTCGAACTATTTGACGATACTTTCTCGACACTTTTGAGAATAGATTTTCGCGCGCGCGCGCGCGCGCGTCGATATCGATCATTCGTATATAGATATTTATATGTATGTAGGATCTATGAATAATAGTGATCGATCGATTAAATTAAATTTGATGAAAAAGGTGGTGAAAATAGAGGTGAGATTAAATGACAGACTGTTTAGACGTATAGATCTCGATTTTATTCTTCTCTCGCGTTGCATCTCTATATTATATACCATCTCTGTTTACAGTAAATCTTTCTTATAAATAATATCGATATCTTTGTCTTTTGGTCTCTGTCTCTCTTTCATCACTCATTCACACTCATTTATACTTACACATAAAATTCCATGAACACACGAATGCAGATAAATTCTTATCTCTTTATAACTATTTTATTGTCCACGAACTATATACACGGTTATATACAATTCGTTTTCGGATGTGTATACATTTGTTTAAATTTATAGAATTCATGACGAATTTTATAAATTTCTAAGTATTAATAAATTCAGGTTCGTTAATAAAATTAATGAAAAATTCTGAACAGTGCTTTTTATACTTAAATGACCTCTTATAGCTTTCTACCTTCGTAAAACCGAAGAGAGAAACGCACACTCGCTAAAACACTTCGGAGTACGATCCACTAAGAAAATTTCGCCATTTGTTTCCGAGCTAAAATCTGCAGTCCTCGTAATATCAGAGATGCGTCGCTTATTAAAACACGAAGACGAATAAATCTCTCATCACTAGCCTTTCGGGACTTGAATTGTCATTGTCGCACGAGTTTGTCCTGGACCCTACGGCTTCGAGTACGGCCTCCAGACCGGTTTCGTGGATGGTTTCGTCGGCGACGGACTCCTTTCCGATTGCGATAGCCTCTGGGAGATGAGCGTGGTCGGCGCCTTCAGTTCGTTTCTCACGCCTTCGATCGGCTTCTTCGTGTTTTTGTCCTGCGGTGGCGACGACGACGACGCGGACGTGCTCGGCGGCAGAGGGTTGATTCGAAGGGGCACGAAGGCACTTCGGACCTCCTCGACAGGGGAGTCGTTGCTGGACGTGTTGCCACTGGATGGCGATCTGGACGGGCTGGTCCTCAGAAGGCCGGCCGTTGCTGGCGTCGAGGCGGTTGTCATCGTCGCGCCAGACGTCAGGGCGTATTCCGAATATTTGATGTGATCGAACGTATACGGCGAGAAAACCGGCGGAAAGCCCGGATTGAACAGATCCGGCGGTGGTATTGGCATCGCTCCTGATGAAGAGAGAGAAAGAGAGACGGAGAGAGATAAAATCGGTTAATCTCGACTGATCGTGTTCGCGGGGGCGAAAACGTAGCGTTGTATAAGTCGCATTGTTGTTTCAACGACGAAACGGGACATACGCGCGTGGAGAGGAGCAGGCAGGGCGAGGAGAGAGCGTTAGAGGGGTTCGCTGTGGGAAAAGAGAACTCAGACTCACCCCTCGGTCCAGCTCACGGGGGTATGAATCATCGGCAGGCGTCGCGGACTCGACGAAATCGATAACGCGGATTCTCTCGTAAGCGCTCCTCTTTCCACACTTTTTCTTCGCGTTCGCGATACACCGACTAATATTTTTTCCCCCGCATTTATTTTTCTCTTTGTTTTTTTTGCAACGCGACTTTACCTTTAATTAGAGCAGGATGCTGCAAATGCCAGGCCTGTGTGATATATGTGGTATCCAACCAGGGGTTGAGTATGGCACCCAATGGGGGAAATCCGGGACCATATTGATAATCTGTAAAATAAATCGCAGGGATGAATCGCGATTACAAATTTATTACGCTAATTATTTTCGATCAAAAATCAATTCCATCGTTCGCGCGATCTACGCGAGATAGATTTGTTAAAGACTCTCTCTCTCTCTTTCGCAGTTTATATCGGCGGCTATACGTACAGATTATAAATCTGCAAAAAATAAAAGTTATAGACCGACTTGTGAAACCGTTACATGATCCCTGCCGCTTCGAAGAGATAAAGTCTCGGTGACGCGGGCTAACGAACCGACAAACACCAGAAAGAAGGAACCCAAGACCTATAAAAGCGAAGATTAACGGCGCTTCAATCCGGGCGATCCGGAGAGGAGCACAGCAGCTAGTGTATCTCTGTTTATACGAGCGTGGCATAAAATCCATTATTACGACGTGGCGCGGCGGGTTTTCGTGGCGCGGCACATGCTACCGCCATATGCGGTGCGATAAACAAACGCGTAAACGCGGCTTCTTTTGCAGACGTCTATCTCCCCCGACGTCTCCCTTCCCCTGTCCGTGTCTTCTTCCCTTTCTCGGGCACCGGCTGATAAACAGTTGGACTTGATGCGCCGCGGCGACCAACCGGCGGCCGGTTTCAGGGAAAATAAACGCGAATATAGAGCTCGGAAGAAGAATGCAACGCCGACGAAGATCTTGATCTCTCTCTCTCTCTGTCGCGGATTTTGACACGCTGCCAAGGGAGGAATCGTTTGACTGTGTTACCCTCCTCGTGTTATGTCGCCGTATACGCTCTTGCGCGGTGCATATGTGCATGTGCGCGCGCTCGCTCGCTCATTCGTTCATGTGCACGTGCGAGAGCCCGCCGACGCTCGGCGTCGAGGGCTCGGGCACCGTTTCAGCGCCAACCGCCACCACCTCGCGGTTTGAGGTCCGCCAGATATACGCCGAATTATTAAACGCCCGCGAGGCCTCGTTTGCGGATTCCGCGGTGGTCACGGAGCTTCCGACGACTTTTCGGCTGCCGACCGAAAACACACCGATAACCGCCGCTCCTCTTCCCCACCTCCCCCCTCGTTCTCTGACTCTAATCGCGTTTCGGGATTAATTATCGTTTATTGTATTTGTACGTAAACATAGTCCCTTTCTCTTCGCGGACGTGTATTCTTTAAAAAGGAAAGAGAGAGAGAAAAATTGAGAGGAGTAAATTAATTGAAAATTTTGAAATATTACATTATCAACATGCGCGTTGTTTGTGTGTATAAGATTTTGTTTTTCGACATAGTCGTCGTAAGATTGATCGATAGTTACGATTATGATAAAATTGTAAATATTATGTTGTTTATATCGACTTACTCGACTTAGATCTTGGCTCGCGTGGTCCGTCTACTGTGACCTTGATGGCTTTAGCATACGTTGCAATTTGGTTCGGCATCGAACTGATCTGGATCGTCAGCGAGAAGGATTTTCCTGAAATAAAAGCGGAATCTAATCCTTAAAGTTTAGCGTATATATAGAGAACTTATGTTTATGACCGTGTACAAATGCTCGACTCACCTCTTCCACTGCGCCCGACGAATCTTAGATCATTGAACTTGGCGATTTGATTCTTCATGACGGCCGTAGAATTTCGTAGTTCACCAAAACAGTTCTCGTCGTTGCCAGCCCTAATGGTAACCACGGTGCCGTCGGTGACCTCGTCCAACGATATGACCTTGAACGCTACCGGAAGAGACTTGTTTGATCTCCAGTGGGACGGCAGTGTAGAACATAGGATGGAGGGACTTCCAGTCTGCACCAAATCCCCGTGACAGGTTCTGAGAGCTTCGTAGATTGCCTTGTAGGTTTCCATCGCCACCGGACCATCCGGTAGATGCATTTTTTCTCAAATTAAACGAAAAGTTCAAGAAAAAAAAAAAAAAAAAGAGAAATTCAATGATTTTTTCACGAATTTGAACGTGCAATCACTAATGAACGGCGAACACGATCGATCACTGCTCTTCTCATAATTCACTGCTCTCACGTTTGCAGAAAAACGATAATCACGATAAACGCAAATGATCTCTTTGTGCCCCCTTTCTCTCTCAACGAAGTAAGTTCATCCGTGCTCCAGATTCGAGTTGATGTTTCGATCGCAACTTCGCACCGCGGACTCGTAAAATAAATCGTACCGACGCGCACTCGATGCCGGCTGAGCGGATTCTAGTTTTTCGTGGCCGTAGCCACAGCTATTTAGGGGGATTTTTCTCCCCTCCAATTTTTCCGGAGCCCCACCCAGGACAAGCGCGTCGACCAATGAGGACGGCGGTCGTGTTGTGGCCTCCGCGGCTCGCCGCCTTCGCCCCTAACCAGGCTTAGGGGGTGCTTTGCGAAAGGGGCTGCCTGCCTGCTGCCTGGCTTGCCAAGGGTGGCTTGGCGCCTCTGCTCTTCCTTAACATATCCACTCGAGCTCTTTCTCGCTCCCACTCGCTACTCCGTCTCTTATTCATCTCTCTCTCTTTCTACCCCGTTTCACCTGTCTCCCTCCTTCGGTCTCTCTGCCTTCTCGTGTTCTGCTCTCCTCGTCATGCTGGCCCCGTCGCTACCTTTCCACCTACCGAGCCACCTACGTGCTCACGCTTACGTGACGACGTAAATTCTCACGCGCACGTGTTCGAACTACCCCACCACTAGCGAGCGATCTCTGCGACCCGACTCCTCCGACAGCTGCACGCGTTTCTTGACCTCCAAGGCTAATGCATCTTGCCCAAGCGGTGAACCGACGAATCTTTTGTGTGTGTTATATTTCCTTTGTAAATCTTACGAGTACTCGTATACGCGATGTATTTTTCCGAAATATTATTTGTACATCTAATTTTAGAATGTTGAAAAAAGTATCTAGTATTTTATCTATTGCAGTCTCAGGAACAAATCGTTTCACATCTCTATGAGAATTCATATTTTTAAAAAATTTTTATTTCATTTATATTTTATGCAAAAGTTAAAGAAAATTTAATTAACCGAACTTGAATATTTTTATACGAAAATATTACACACATGCACACGCATACGAACATATGACAATGAGTATACAATATGTCTTGATTCACGAGATTGATGACTATCTAAACAATTATTAAAGCTGCATTCTAGAAGTCGATTTATTTCATTAAATTTAATTTTATTTTGTTCTGTATTATAAATAGTGTTCTTAAAATGAAATTGATTTTTATTTCATTTCCATTTTTATTTAATGAATCTTTGTGGCATGTAATATAAACGCATAACCCTGAAACTTAAAAAGATTAATTGTTTCTTGAGATTTATGTTTATGGTTATGACCTGTCTTTTCAAGATTTACATATAAAAGAGTTGAAATATTGAAAAGAGTTGAACTGAAAACTAATTGTTAAGAGTTAAAATTGAACTTGGTCTTTACAAAAATTAACGAAAAGAGCGACTGGCGGTCTCCCTCGTAATAAATCTTGTCAGTACTATATAGTCGGTTTTTTTTTTTTTTTTTTTAAACTGAAATTACAAAGAAGCTTGACCGAAATATCTAAATATTACCTACATGTTCTTGTTTTTCTCACATATACATCAAGCGTTTTTATATTATGTGTCCATTAATTTAATAGTTTATTTCGAAATTTTCCATGTCATGTTTGCACAATGTTTGCATAATTTTCAAGATTTTCATAAATTCATTTTAACGATCATTTTTTAAGAGTAAAGTTTAATATATTTTTACAAATCATTTTGTCGTAAATAAATCGTTAAAATTTATGTATACATATGCCTATTTATATGCAATTCCTATACTGATGGTTGTCCTTTGTCAAACAAAAACAGATGAGTATGTAGAAAAAAAGGTTGAACATGTGTTTCAATTTTAAATGTTATTTTCTGACATATACGATCTAGTCTGCGGTATTTCTGTGATATATTTCTTTAAAGAATATACATACTACATTTTCAAAGGTGTTTTATTAGTGTCGATTTTTGAATTTCAATACGTATTAAAAAATTCTGATTGAAATTAATTCCCGCAGTACTCTGTATATGTATACACGTAAAAAATAAATACATGTTAAAGATAATATGACAAAGAAAAAAGAAAAATTAACTGGCATGTAATTACAGATAATGTGATACAGAGGAACAGAAAAATCCTGATCTCTTATACACGAATAAATTTCACACGCGCTTTCATGTTTATACGTAAAATCAAATTACTTTATGAAGATTTAATATAACGTTTATCCAAATATTATTAGATACCATGTTCTTCGAGAAATAATAGAGAATTAATTCGTTATTAAATCAAATTATTATTTCGATTATTAAATCAAATGCATAGTTTTAAAGTATTGCAAAAAATATTTCTCGCTGAAATTATTTTGATCATTTATTATATTATAAATAGTATGTTGAAAAAAAATATCATCTTTCTACCTCATCAATGATGCAAATTGTAGTCATTAATATCGCGTATATCGAATGCAACAAATTAAATTTTTTAGTCAAATTATGACGAAAATTTTTAATTTTATCATTTTCAAAGTCTTCAAATATTATACGTAAAATTATTACGTATATTTGCTCTACTTAAATGATTATTATCTTAAAAAAAAACTACTTTTCTAAAATTAAAAGAAAATTGCAATCCAATCTATCACAATCCATTTGACTTATGTTGATCATATGTAATTGTTTTATTGTACAGGTGTGTTTTCGTATTTTAATAGAGTCTTTTAGTTTTTTATTTTATATTAAAAAAAATAACACGGACATGTTTTTTTGTTATATATAATTCATTTTCGTACAATAAAATCTCTTAACGCAAATTAAAAAAATTTATTGTTATTTATGTGTGTATATGAAGTAAACTAAAATATATTACTTGTTCAAATAATTGCAAAGAAACTTATCATAATTCTATATAAGAAATTATTACTTTTAGAAATTACAAGTTAGATAAACGTTAAGTTACAAAAAAATGTTTTGCGGTTGTACTTTTGTTATAAAATAATATCAGTATTTATTCGCAAAGATTGGAAATGCGTATTAAACGACAGGCTACTATCCCCTTTTTCGTTCTTGTAGTATCAGAGAAATTAAATATCAGAATTATATTATAACACTAGCTTCAATTTTTAGTACGAAGCTCCAATATCACGTTGGTCAAATTCTATGACTTGAGTGTTGACTTTTATAAATATCTGCTTTAGATATGACATCGGTTTAAATGTGTAGGTATATGGAAGATAACGCATATAATACAAACGTGCTAATTTGTAGTCCATTAAAATGGATATATTTTGCGAGAGATAATAAATGAACAGTGTGTTTTATGCGCGTTGAGTTTTTGTGCGTGTGCGAAAATGTTTGCTTTACGCGTTTTACACGATTGTTCCAGGATACCAAATTGCTCGTCTTTTTTCCCACTTTTGTACTCCCGCTTGTGGCATGATAGCTTTGTAACGTATGTCATAAATTTTAGTGGTTACTATAATCGGGCTGCATCCTTCCAATAGTTCTCAGGACAATTGTTCGATAATAACGTAGAAAGAGTTTTGGATAAAGCCTTTCTGTACCCTCATTATTTTGCCGCTTTCACTTTTAAGTTACCGTGTATAAGTTTAGCCTTGAACGAGTCACATAAAATGCGATTCTTCTGCTTGGGGGGTCGAATATTGAATTAACCCTATTTTTTCTTTGATTTATTTATTTCTTTTTAAATTGTTTTCTGACGTTTTTTTCATATCGTGTCAGAAGTAGAAAAATGAAGAACTGCCAGAACATTGTGAATAAATATTTCTTTGTCAATTTTTGTATTCAGTTTGACAAATGTATGCTTATATACATAACTTTCGGTTTCATTTTATCTGGGTTACAATAAAAAAATTAAACTTTAAATTCGTGTCAATATTTATATATATTTAAACTCTTTTGTAATTTTAATGTATTACACATTTCGGCACGGTTCGTTAATAACAGAAGAATTTTAGATAGAAGCTTCTTTTATATCTTTATTTTTTTCATCACATACAACTTTGTTCTTGAGCAAGTCGCCATAAAATTCGCGATGCTTTTGCAATTCGAGGAAGAATCCTGAATTAACCCTACTTTTTTTCGATTAAAAATGATTTAGAATTGTTTATCGACGTTTTCTCATATTGTATTTAAATTAATTGGAAAAATGGAGAAATAAAACACCACCATTCTGAATAAGTTTTGCTTTGTAAATTTTTGTATTTAGTTTGAAAAAATGTACGGTTATATAATTTTTTATTTCATTTTATTTCATCCGTGTTATACAATTATAAAATTAAGCTTTAAATTCGTATCAATATTCCGACTCTTTTGTAGTTTTAATTTATTACACATTTCGACACATACAGTTGGCATATTTCCGCAACTAATGGCGCTTGACGTGTCGCGAAAAGACGAAAGCTTTGAGCGTTAACTCGGTATTGTCGCGTAACAGAGAACCGACTGTGACAAGTAATTATAATAGCGCCACTCTCGGCGAGTCGTAAGATTGTGTCATTTTGTCGACTCACGCAACAATGAGGACTAATTTCTTAAAACATCTCGGCACGTTAGGTTTCCGTTTCCTTGTCAGTGCCCAGCAAAAGAGCCATCGGAGCCTGGTTTAATATTGTCTAGTGCCTGCCGTGTCAAAGACTATAAAGCAACTCGCGTCATGTGAGGCGTTATTATGATTTCATGGCTCGAATTCTGTAAGAGATTGTTAACATTGTGATTATTAGCATCAATTATCGTTGATAAATCTAATTACAATCATGCAAATGGAGGATTCTTTTTTTTTGTCGGAATAAAGTAATCGCGAAAAGAGAGACGGTCCCTTGAAGATGCGGCCCTTTTAACGGTAGCTTACGTAACACATCGCGGAATTTGGCGGGAATGAAGATGCCTCTCCGAGAAAATAGCTGAGAGATACGCGGAGACTGTGTAACGGGTGGAGAGAAGAGATGCGCGACGAGGCACGCAAGTTAACACGAGAGGAGTGCATTGTGTGCGGTGAGCGAGCCGGAAGCGTCGCCATACTGCGTATCGCCCCCGCGTCGCTTTTGTTTCCGTTTTCGTTTGCCCCGATCATTTTCTGCCCCTGCGCTCATCCTCGCCCGCTTGCCGTCACCACGCTACGCCCTTTTGTTTTAGCACGGCTCTTTTTCGCGAGTTCTCCTCTCGTCAGAAGCGCACTCGTACGTTAAGTTTGGCGCGGCACGACAAAGGGGTGTTATGTACGATCTTACAGCGCTTTCTCTCTTTCCGTTTGCAAAGCCCCGGCGGAAAAATTGCGAGTTCGCGCGATTCTTATGCTCCGCACGACGCGACGCCAAAAACGTTTGACATTGCAGTCTGACTGGGGGATGGTTAATAGATTTTCAGTTTTTCTTTCGTTTACTTTTACTTGTCTGGGGCGACTAACTCAAAATTTCACGTTTCCCGACAATGTTACACATTTTTCGCGGATTTATGTTGAACTGTGCTCCGGCTGATGGAAGTTTCTCGGCTCTCCGTCCGAAAAAAAACGCAAACACGCATTAGGGACGCGCGGATCCGGATTGCGTCAGGCTAATAGCATTATTCCATATTTTTCCATAAAACGCGGCAAGTAAAAGCCCCTCGCGCGCATGTGGTGGGTGTGCGTTCGCGCGCCCCATCGTGCCGCATCGCTCTGCGAGATACCTTTGATACCCATTATCACCGTTCGGTTACCTGCCATTAATACGCTATATCGATGCCTATTAGTCGGCGCACCTAATAACCTACAACCCGACTATAATGCCCTCAACACACACGAGACAGTCGGGATTCCAGTATTACCCGTGGCGCATTCTCGGACCGAATGCCAGACTCGCTTACCAATAAA